AAACAGGAGAGGAGAACACGGGTATATCTTCATCTATGAGTTGCTGCCCTTTCCTTGAAGTAAAGTTAATTAATAAACCCTTTTCAGCCGACTATTCAGTTTTACTAAAAATTCAGCTCAGCATCTCGCCATATTATTTCACTTAATCAAACACAACAAATGCTTCACACTGCTACCAAAGTCTGGTCCCATCACTCTTGGTCTAATGACTGACCTATAACCCTATTCAACACAAACATAGAAACTAACTGTAGTCCTGCCAAATAAATGGAGATGGGGAAAATCAACTAAGGCTTCAAAAGAAGTTCTTCCTTCCTCTAAAATTTAAGGGGGGCAGTGGTGCTTATTAACACACTGACATTTTAGAGCAGCGAGTTTTCACTGTGAATCCTGCTTGTTGCATGTTTAGTTTATTTCATAAGGACTGGTCAAAGTAGCATTAAACTCTAAAACTTTTATCCCCAATAATGAATCCAGATCAAACAAATATAAATTGCCCAGCAGAGTATTTCATTTTTTGCCCAAACACTTACAGCCATCATGTTTCTAAGCAGCCCCAACTCTCTCAGCTCCACATCCTTGAACTTCCTGTCCAGTACAAGATCACAAAAGACAGCATAATCTCCAGCAGCTGTCCATCTACTAGCTTGGAGCAGTTTGCTGTGCCTTTGCTTTTGTGGAGGCAAACACAGCTTAAGCTGCCCATACACCTATAGATTTCCGATTGGAAATTTGTGTTGCTACCAAGAACCCTCGTTCGATTCTAGCTCAAATAGCAGATCAAGCACAGACAAATGTAGATTTCGATAATTGTTTGTTAGTAATACCAACTCACCAACTTTTGTCGATTGACAGAACGGATTTTTATTTGCGCATGTGCAGTGTTCTTTTATTTTTTGTTGTTTTTGTACGATTCAAAAAAGTTTTCCAGCCTTGCCCTTTGAGAAAATTCGAGCGGGATCACAGTAAAAGAAAATAATCGTTGGTGTCCCATCAACTGTTCAATTATAATTGGAAAGACCATTCGTGGCAGATTTCTAAATGAAGGTCGAAGAGTGTATGCGCACCTTCACTTGCAGATACAAGGGTGGCTCTATAGTACCCTGAAAAGGAAAGGAGCCACCCTAAAACAGGATATCAGGGTCAGTGCTCAGGGAACTGATTTTGCAGGAAACTTTTAAATATCAAGAAGAAGCATCCATTGCAAGTTATTTAATCGGCAAGGAAGCCGGCTCCATGTTCCCTCGCAACACTGCCGGTCAGAGGAAATCTCCCTCTGACTGGAAGTTCCGTATCGGGGTAAGGAACGGAGCATTTGGGCGAGTAGGAGTATCAGTGCATCCCAACAGTACTCTCGAGTCTCCATTGCAGTGCATTTTTTTTACATGCATTACCATTCATCCCTTTTTAAAGATGCTTAAAGTGATACTAAAGTGAAGTCAGAATGTTTTTAAACTATGAGGTAGTAAGTAATGACTCGCCACCCGGCTTCCTGATTGGCTGGGAAGCCCACTCCATGCTGTTAGGCCGGCTCGATGCTGATTGGTTGGGAAGCTGGCTTCCTGGCCAATCAGGAAGCCGGGCCGCAGGTAATGACCCTCCTCCTGCCTTCCTGATTGGCTGGGAAGCCAGGTCGATGATGATTGGCCAGGAAAGTCTGCTTCCCAGCCAATCAGCATGGAGCCGGCTTCCCGGGCAAGCAAGGAGCGGGTAATGACACGCCGCTCGGATTCCTGATTGCCCAGGAAGCCGACTCCATGCTAGAGAAGCACCGTTATCAGTACTCAGTATCGGCGAGTACCAAAAGACAAATATCGGTAGTCCCAAGTCCTAACCGAAAACCTGGTATTGGTGCATCTCTACTGGAGAGCCAGAAATTTGGAAAGACCATATACCTACAGGTACAGGGTACAGGCAGTGTCCTCTCCCACCCAGGGGAGCAATACAAATGAATAGATACTGCAGCATTAGAGTCCCAAATGCTACAGTCTCCCTTATTCTTTAGCGCAGCACATCACAAATAGAAGCTGACAAAGTTTGTTTGGCTCAAACCATATTTGGCTCCATATACCTTAGGGCTCATGCACATGGGCAGCTAGGCCCATACAACATAAATAGCAGCATATTTCCCATCCCGATCCCCCACCCGTCTGGAAGTCGCTGGTGCAGCACACAACCACCTATAGAAGTGAATAGCTGTATGCAGCTACACAAGGGCCTATGCCAGTATTTACAGACAGCTACATATGTGTACAGGCATAAATCTTTGGACACAGGTTATGGGGAGATTGACATACAATCATCCCCTTACTAGAAGCCGACGTGTGACAGTACAGCTGTCACACGTCGGCTCTATTAATCGAGAACTGAACGATCACATACCGCCGATCACGATCTTCTCCTTGCAGAGAGTGGTCACTGTAAGCCTCAGCTCCCCGCAGGAATTCCCCTGGGAGGGACACAGGGAAGGGGGCGGGCACAGCTGACTCTGGCTCTAGAGTGGCAGAGCCAGCTGTCAAACAGGCAGCAGGTTGGATCCCAACAATATTTTTCCTGTCCTCCTGTGACCCTAAAGAGAACTACATACAAAACACACAAATTACACAAACCTCTTTCATTGCTCTGTGTTATGTGTGCTAGGTCTGCAACCAATAAATCAATTAATTGATAATGAGAATAATTGTCAACTATTCTCATTATCGACTAGTTGGTTGGCTCCTCTAGGTCTATCCTCCATGCTGGGAGGAGGGCACCCCAAGCAGTGGGCCGGTGCAATAATCAGCCTGCTATTGGCTATTGCAATTTGAAATGGCCAATAGCAGGCTGGCTATTGCACCAGCAAACGCACAGTTCAAAAAATTGTGCATGCAATTTTATTCTAAAAAAAAATTTAGGTTTGTAACACTGCAGTTGTGTATTTTATTTTAAAATTAAGGATGGCATTTCATTTTTTTTATCAGATCAAAAAAATAAAGAAATAGGCCAACTAATCAATTATGAAAATAATCATTAGTTGCAGCCCTAATGTGTGCGAACATTTTCTAATATACAAGTAAGGACTTTTCTTATGACACACTGAATTGTTCACAAGCGTAATAAACAAGCTAAAGGTCAGCTTTCATAGCGCAGTCAGAATGACGACAAATATGTCAGAATTGATTGCTAAGAGATGCTGCGTGTCTTATATGGTTCTCTACAATACAGACAACCTGCACTGAGACATGTTAAATGGCCGGGCTCTCATGCTAATCCATAATCTTCAATCATTTCTGAGCAACTCAACTGGAATAAACATACAGATCAAAACACTGAACTCACAGAGTAAGCTTGTGCAATGTGAACCCAGAAATAAGAAACTAGCATTTTTACAAGCTTGGCCAATGTAACGTCTCAGCAGAGCTTTCTTGTAATAAAGAAGGAGTGTTGTGGATTACTCAACACCAATGATTCCTCATGTGAGCTGATTCTGGAGCCAGGAATGTCTGATCTCTACAGAATGAAGGGGATCCAAGTCGGTCATCCTGTGCATACCACTCTGTAAACAAATAAGATGTCCAGCAACCGGATAATGAACGCATAACGCAACTCCTCTCGTGGCTAAATCCAGTCAAAGGATCAATTACAGTATAAACAGCATAGTACCTGGAAGCAACCGTGTGACCTCGAGAATTTACAGTGACCCTGTTTCTAGGAAAAAATAAATGTCCCTCTACACTGCAGGAAGGCTCTTCTCTATTGTAACACCTGTACACCAACTGACCCTCCTGGCTGCAAGTACAAGGAAAAGTGAGAGCCTGCAGGCATCGGGTGGGTGTCTTGGCATGAGGAAAGCAAAGCATCTTGGCACATTAAGAATCACAATAGCACCACTTTGTTTACTGCCAGATAAGATCCTCATCGATTTCCCATCGGGATCACTCATATCTAGTCATCTATTCCTATAATAGACATATGTCAGATCAGATCAATCACTGCTCTTTTGCACATCACCAATGCACACATCCCTTTGCGAATAACCAGTGATTTTTGCCCATCCCTTTGCACGTCACCACTGCTCTTTACCCATCCCTTTGCACGTCACCACTGCTCTCTACCCATCCCTTTGCACATCACCACTGCTCTTTACCCATCCCTTTGCACATCACCACTGCTCTTTACCCATCCCCTTGCACATCACCACTGCTCTTTACCCATCACCACTGCTCTTTGCACATCACCACTGCTCTTTACCCATCCCATTTTCACATCACCACTGCTATTTACCCATCACCACTGCTCTTTGCACATCACCACTGCACATCACCACAGCTCTTTACCCATCCCTCTGCACATCACCACTGCTCTTTACCCATCCCTTTGCACATCACTACTGCTCTTTACCCATCCAATTTTCACATCACCACTGCACTTTGCACATCCCTTTGCACATCGCCACTGCTCTTTACCCATCCCTTTGCACACCACCACTGCTCTTTGCACATCCCTTTGCACATCACCACAGCTCTTTGCACATCCCTTTGCACATCACCACTGCTCTTTGCACATCACCACTGCTCTTTGCACATCCCGTTGCACATCACCACTGCTCTTTACCCATCCCTTTGCACATCCCCACTGCTCTTTACCCATCCCTTTGCACATCACCACTGCTCTTTACCCATCCCTTTGCACATCACCACTGCTCTTTACCCATCCCTTTGCACATCACCACTGCTCTTTACCCATCCCTTTGCACACCACCACTGCTCTTTACCCATCCCTTTGCACATCACCACTGCTCTTTACCCATCCCTTTGCACACCACCGCTCTTTCAACATTCCTTTGCACACCACTATTGCTCCTTCAACATTCCTTTGCACATCCCCAATGTACCTCACGTTTTCTCTTTGCACACCACCATTTATCTTTCCACCACACCATTGCTGTTTGCACGGCTTTAGAGAAGTCTGATGTGACAGATCCCACACACAGCATGCACCCCCCTGTGCCCTCCGCTTACCCGCAGACTCGCCGGTGTTGATCCAGTCCGGGTTGGCGATGCTGGCGATGGCGAAAATATCGGCAGCCAGAAACAGACATCCTGAAATAATGGTCAGTTTTTACATATCTTTCCCCCCCCGCCGCTACCCGCACCCCTCTCACACGGAGGGGGGAGATCCCTCCGCATACAAGACAAACAACCCGGCGCTGAGGACCGGGCCAGACACTGCCCCGGAACTCAATCTCCTTCTCCAGATAGACCCCCGGAAGTAAACAGGGCTCATTAGTCCTCCCTCCCCCCGAATCTGGCTGCAGCGGTTCCCAGTAGAGATGGGCAAAACGGTTCTTCTGCATGAGCGCTCCTCCACGGATCGCTCACTGAAAAGATCCGGATATTTTAAAATGGCTCATGGTTCACCGCTCTTTTTTACTATAGTGGCACCCCACCCACTATAATGCATTGCTGGGACTTGTAGTTCTACATAGCTGAAGCTATTTTGCATTGCTGTATAATCATCATACAGCAATGCAGAATACCACCAGCTAAGCGGGACTACAAGTCCCAGCAATACATTATAATAAAAATCAGATATGCAAAATACCACCAGCACACCCCCCAAACACACACACTATAATGCATTGCTGGGACTTGTAGTCCTACATAGTTGGTGCAATTCTGCATTGCTGTATAATCATCATACAGGTATGCAAAATACCACCAGCTATGCGGGACTACAAGTCCCAGCAATGCATTATAATAAAAGTGAGCACTATATCACCAGCACCCCAGAAGAACTGCCGCTCATTTTTACTGAGCCACCGCTCTTTCATTCTTCTGAGGGAGCCGCTCAATAGATCCGGATCGCTCATGAGCTACCCATCTCTAGTTCCCAGTCACTCTGTTACTACGGAAGCTTATAGGGGCCATGTCTGCCTAGCAACAAAGAACCCGTGGCATCTCCTGCTGGCTGCCCTGTGCCGTGCAAGGGCTCGGTTTCACTTCACACTTGTCTGCTCCTTCCTCCTAGGTGTGGAATGAGAGAGATTTGGGGGTGGGGAAGCATGTCTGAGGAACAGTCAGCTCCTTTGTGTTTTAAAACGCAAGAACCTAGTAAAAAAGGTCACTGATTTGGGAAATATACACTGCTCAAAAAAAATTAAAGGAACACTTTTTAATCAGAGTATGGCATCAAGTCAATGAAACTCCTGGGATATTGATCAGGTCAGTTAAGTAGCAGAGGGGCTTGTTAATCAGTTTCAGCTACTATGGTGTTAATAAAATTAACAACAGGTGTACTAGATGGGCAACAATGAGGCGACCTCCAAAACAGAAATGGTTTTAGAGGTGGTGGCCACTGACATTTTTTTTCCCTACTCATCTTTTCTGACTGGTTTTCACCAGTTTTGCATTTGGCTAGAATCAGTGTCACTATTGGTAGCCTGAGGCGATACCTGGACCCTATAGAGCAGGGGTGCCAACAATTTGTGTGTTAAGATCTACTTTTCAAATGACAAGCTACATGAGATCTACCAACAAAACAAAAACCTCCCTTGCGCTCCTTCTTTCTCGCGCTCCTTCTCTCTCGCTTTCCTGGCTGTCTCTCTTTGCTCATCCTCCTGGCTGTCCCTCCTCTCTCTCCTGGCTGTCTCTCTTTGCTCATCCTCCTGGCTGTCCCTCCTCTCTCTCCTGGCTGTCTCTCCTTGCTCTCTCTAAAGTCGCTGCTCTGCAATACTACAGAACACCGGGAAGCTAGACCTCCAACTTCTCCTTTCGTGCTCAGCCCTCCATCCTAAAGTCGCTGCTCTCATGCTGTCGGACTCTGCCTTCATGTGTCAGGCACAGCAGACGGAGAAGGGCTAAACAGACCGTAGGGGGGTTCTCGGGATAGTGAGCTGACTTACAATCGTGATCTACCAGCATCAGCTTTGTGAGCTACTGGTAGATCACGATCTACCTAATGGGCACCCCTGCTATAGAGGTTGCATAGGCATGCCAACTCTTCCAGAATGGCACATCAATACGTGCCATTGCCAGAAGGTTTGCTGTGTATCCCAACATAGTCTCAAAAGCATGGAGTCGATTCCAGGACACAGGCAGTTACTCTAGGAGTGCTGGACAGGGCCATAGTAGGTCCTTAACCCATCAGCAGGACCGGTATCTGCTCCTTTGTGCAAGGAGGAACGGGATGAGCACTGCCAGAGCCCTACAAAATGACCTCCAGCAGGCCACTGGTGTTAATGTCTCTGACCAATCAGAAACAGACTTTATGAGGGTTGCCTGAGTGCCCGACGTCCTCTAGTGGGGCCTGTCCTTAGTGCCCGGCAGCGTGGATGTCGATTGGTATTTGCCATTGAACACCAGAAGCAAGGAAATTTCACAGAACACCTGAATCCAATGATTTGGAGGGGTGTCCCAATAATTTTGGTAATATAGTGTGTATTGGGACAAGTGTTTCATCTGATTTCTACATTATTGTGCACAGTGAATAAAAATCCCAGATGTATATAACAGCTAAGAAAGAGATGACAGGAAAATTACAAAACCAGTCATTGGTCACTAAGTATGATAAGAATGATCAATACAGTAAACTCTCCGTTATCCGTCATTCAAGCAACCAGCACTCTCAAGCAACCAGCAAAATAAAATCATCATAATATGTCTTTGTTTTCTCTTTTGCTGGTGGCTTGATGCACACTAAAAAAAGTTGGTTGCTTGGTGCACATTAAAATTTTTTGTTAGCAACTAAATTTGAAATAGCCAATAGCAGGCTGGCTATTGCACCCACCCACTGATCAGAGGAGCGGACCTCATAGAGAATGGAATCTAGCCGGAAGATAAATGAAGGGGGGGGAATCCCACGATCGTACGATAATCGGCAGGTGTATGGAAGGCGTGCAACCATTCCTATTGTACGGTCGCACGTCTTTTGTCTTACGAGCACGTTGGAAAACCGTACGGTTTTGTGGCGTGCGCGTAAGACAAATGCCGAACGGGCCGGTGTGGCCAAGCGCACACTGCCCGCTCAGCACTTCAGTCATCGCACGCCCTCCCCTCAGCGGGGCGGGCTTGCGATGATTGTAAGTACGATCTGCCTGTCCAAGTCATGCAGATCGTACGATTTTTCAATTACCTTACAACCATAATTACCAGTCCAGAAGTGAGCGACTGACCCCAAATAACTTATACCCTTCTTTCTGTGGCAAAGGGAATATCTTTAAATAATTTTTGTCACTCAATTATTGAGATTATTTGAAGTTTTTCTGGCAAACTTACTAAAGAAGATGGACACCGAAGCTCAGCATTACCAGGCCAGAAGAGAGCGAGTGACTCCCAAATAAATGTTACCATCCTAAAGGTGCCCATACACCTTACGATTATCGGACGAAACTTTTCGTCCGATGATCGAACCGTCGTACGATTTCGGCCCCATCCTGCCCCGATTATCGCAAGGGTCAATCAGCGGTGGTTTAAAAAAACACCTGGACAACTTGCGGTAATTGACCGCAATTATTTTAGTTTGCGCATGCGCAGTGTTAATCGTACGACTTTTGACAGACGGAAACGCCACCAACCATCGTACGATCGACCGAAGTTTTCAAACATGCTTGACCGTCAAAAGTCTTACGATTGTACAGTACTATCAGTCGGGCACTCTATTAACACGTTACGATTGTCGTACGAAAAGTTGATCGCATACGATTATCGTATGATAATCGTAAGGTGTATGGGAACCTTTACTGTGCCCTAGGATATGGTTTGTTAATTTTTAGTCAGATATTTTTACTTTTTTTGTTCCAGGCTGGTTGTTGCCTGATCAGTGACTACATAGAACACCTGGTATTGGAACCATTTAGGGAGTCACCAACTACAGTTTCCTGCAAGCATGCGTTTTCAGCCACCTTATCACTGACAGACAAAGTTGACTCTGCTGACTGTGCAGTTACAAATGGTACAACATTTTTCCAGGCATATTTTTGTTGACCAGAAGCTGATCCTACTTCATAGAGTCCTTTTTGGTGGCCTGTAAACTCTTCTGTAAACCAGTTTTAAATTTTGTTCTTTTGGCCTGACAAAATGTAGGATTATTTGTTATACTTGCCTCAAATAAAGGCTCCATTTTGCCAGCTTCTGGGAGACATCTCTGTGTTACATCTTGCTTGAAGAACATTGACTAGGGAATGGCATCCATCAGGAATGGGGCACTGCTGCGGGACAGTTTGATTACATAGTAACATAGTATGTAAGGTCGAATAAAGACCAGGGTCCATCCAGTTTGGGGTGCAATGCTTGGGGATGCTGGAGGACATTACTGTGGTACATCTTGCTTGAAGTACTTTGACCAGGGAATGGCATCAGGAATGGGGCACTGTTGCTGGAGGACATCTTTATTAGGGTATGATGCTTGGGGATGGCATCAGGAATGGGACAATTCTGCTGGAGGACATTACTGTGGTACATCTTGCTTGAAGAACGTTTACCAGGAAATGGCATCAGCAATGGGGCACTGCTGCTTCTGGGCATCTTGATTGGGCTATGATGCTTGAGGATGGCATCAGGAATAGGTCAATTCTGCTGGTAGACACTACTGTGTTATATTTTGCTTGGTGTACGTTGATTTGGGTATGGCATCAAGAATGGGGCAACACTACTGGAGAACATCACCGTGTTCTTCTTGCTTGGTGTATGTTGACTTAAGCATGACAACAGGAATGTGCTTACAGTTCACAAAGAAATCTCACCGCTCCAATTCTCCAGGCTGCATCCTCAGCACAAGAGATCCCACAGGTGGAAGCAGAACAAATGCGTGTTCACCTTTAATCAGGTCTGCTAAAAAGATAGCCGCACACCACCATCTTCAGATAATAAATCCAATATTTATTTGTGATCCAAAAGTTCATTACAAATAAATATTGTATCGCACCAACACAAGTAACATGCATTGCCACACATTACAACACAATAGTGTGATCCTAGTCTGAATGATTTTGATGCAACTTTTACATTTCTATTTTTACTGTTAAATTGCCAAAGAAAATGACATACTTCTAGGTAAACAGAACACTACTTTCATTGTTTGCTATGAACTCGACACACAATGTTTCAAGGATCTATTCATGTATTCCA